GGCTCTGTGCCGACGGCCCAGAGCCTGGATCCTCCTTCAAATTCTGTGTCTCCCTCTCTCTCTGCCCCTCCCCCACTCAACGCTCTGTCTCTCTCTCAAAAATAAATAAATGTTAAAAAAAAAAATTAAAAAAGAAGAGCATCCAATTCTTGATGTTGGGGTTGTGAGTTCGAGGCCCACGTGGGGCATAGAGATTACTTAAAATTTTTCAAATCTTAAAAAAAAAATTTTTAATTCAAAATTAAAAAATGAATCTGCATGAAATTGACTAAGAGGAAGTTGGAAATGCAAGATTAGTTTTTAGGAGGGGAGTCAGGGCTGGAGGGAGAGATTTATAAATCACCTTCGTGGAACTGACAGTCAAAACGGGAAGTTGGGTGGACGCGTAAAGTGTTACAGAAAAGCAGGAGTGCCTTCTCACCTCAACCTTGAGCATGACCACCTGGAGGAGGAGAGCCGACCGGGGCGGGTGGGGAAAGCAGGGCACTCTTATGGCAGGAGGCAGTGCCTAGTTTTGAGGAGCAGTACTGTGGCACTGAGTCCCCTGCTGTCACAGTAGACCACTGCTGAAATGTTTGGCATGGAAAAGAAAAAAGGGAAGAAGGTAGGGCCTAGGGGTATGGAGGGGAAAATACCTTGCTCACTTAATAGTTACTGAGCACTGAAGGTGTGTACTGTGTTGGGCACCAGCGACACAGGTATGAACAGGAAAGACCTGGTCTCGGCCCTCAAGGGACTCCCGGTTCAGAGCCGGAGTTTTTCCAAGTGAATGATTATGAACAAGCCACTCTTGTCATTTGTATTCTTCGTGTTCGTCATAACTGTAGATGAAACTGTAGGCAGGCTAGACAGCTCCACCCTTGCCTCTAGATCCTTACTACATTACGAATAAGTTTCTATTCTTTGAAAAAGGTCGGCCGTGCAATATTTGTACTGATAGTGCCTTGCATCTATAGAATATACTTTTCAATGTTTTCATTTAAACCTTGAAAAAAATTAAGTGTGCTTAAGAGAGCTGTTACCCCACTCCAGAGATAAGAGGAAACTGAGGCATAGAGTATGACTAGGATGAGAATCCTGTTTGCTTAGCTGCTAATCAAACGTTTCTTTTTTCTAGGCAAAGCATTATACTTTAATTAGGAAGAATAGAGACGGTGGTAACAAGTTAGGCAGCAGTAGCTTAAAAAAAAACCCGTTTAGGGGCGCCTGGGTGGCGCAATCGGTTAAGCGTCCGACTTCAGCCAGGTCACGATCTCACGGTCCGTGAGTTCGAGCCCCGCGTCGGGCTCTGGGCTGATGGCTCGGAGCCTGGAGCCTGTTTCCGATTCTGTGTCTCCCTCTCTCTCTGCCCCTCCCCCGTTCATGCTCTGTCTCTCTCTGTCCCAAAAATAAATAAAAAACGTTGAAAAAAAAATTAAAAAAAAAAAAAACCCCGTTTATTCCCTATGTAATTAGTGGTTCTTGCTATTAAAAAAAAAGAAAGAAAAAAAAAGGGGTCCTTGACCAGAGACATTCAAGCCATTGGGTCATATTTGGCCCTTACCTTGCTTCTAGTTAAGCTCTGAGGTAACATCCTGCTGGTGTCAGAGAGTATAATTTCTCGCTGTGAAAAGCACTCGGAACTGTGTTTAGCCTGGAGTAAGGATCATGTAAGTTACTACTGCGGTGAGTCCAAGGAGGGGAGTGTGTCTCCTTCATTGGGGAAGAGCAGTTTCCATGTGCCCTGTTTGGATTTTTGCCGACTTTTCTCCTTCCCATTCCAACCTACCCTACCATTCTACAGTAGTATATTTTTTAGTGTTTATTGTATGTTACTTCATTTTGCTGTTTTTTACTTTAAAAATAAATTTAAATCTTTGTAATGCTCACCTAAAAGATTCTTTACAGTCCTTCACTTTCCCTGTGGGGTTCTTAAAAAAAAATTCTTCAGGGCGCCTGGGTGGCCCAGTCGGTTAAGCGACCGACTCTTGATTTCGGCTCAGGTCATGATCTCACGGTTTCGTTTCGTGAGTTCGAGCCCCACATCGGGCTCTGCACGCTGACCGTGCACAGAACTTGCTTGAGATTCTCTCTCCCCCTCCCTCTCTGCCCCTCCCCTGCTCGCGTGCTCTCTCTCAAATAAATTAAAAAAAATTTCTCTTGGGACTGATTTTTTTGTTGTTCTTCTTCTCCCTGTGTCCTCTAGGTAGCACTGAGCTGACAGGCAGCACCAATCTGATCACACACTACAACCTGGAACATTCCTATAATAAATTCTGTGGGAAGAAGGTGAAGGAGAAGCTAAGTAACTTCCTGCCTGACCTGCCAGGGATGATTGATCTGCCCGGTTCCCATGATAACAGCAGCCTCCGCTCCCTCATTGAGAAGCCCCCTATTCTTGGTGGCTCTTTTAATCCTATCACAGGGACCATGCTGGCTGGCTTTCGCCTCCACACTGGCCCGGTGAGTCCCCTCCTGGGGAGGAAGAAGGCACACGGGGAGGCCTGAAAGGCATGGAGGTGGTTTTTCTGTCCAAGTCTGTTCCTTCATAACTTACTGAGCAGAACAGATGATGGGAGCAGGGGATCTCCTCCCTCCTCTCACCTGGACCTTCCTTTGGTTCCTTCAGTTGCCAGAGCAGTGTCGTCTGATGCATATTCAGCCTCCCAAGAAGAAGAATAAACACAAGCACAAACAGAGCCGTACCCAGGATCCTGTCCCCCCAGGTAAGAAGCAGTTCTGTTCAAAGCCAGAAAACCTGGATCTGGTTGGACCTTCCTCAGTTAAAAGGCCAGAGAGGTTCCTTACACAGCCCTGGATTCCCAAATTTTCCTGAAACTGATCTAAAGGTAGTGTTCCTTGCAAGTAGGTCTCCTGGGCAAGTAAAAACCTGGAACCGTGCTTTAGCAGTGCCTCCCTATGCTTTCTCGCCGCTACAAGAACAGCAGTTGCCCTTGACTAGGTTTTCCTGTGGTCTTTTGAGTTCCTAGCAGTAAGGAATTTTGAGCTCTGCAGGTGATAAGCACATACTGTCCTACAGAAACGCCATCTGATTCTGATCACAAGAAGAAGAAAAAGAAAAAAGAGGAGGATCCTGAACGGAAGAGGAAGAAGAAAGAGAAGAAGAAAAAGAAGGTAGGGTAGGGGCCTGTTGCTGCAGCCCCCCGGAATCTCCCCACTTCACCCCGCCCCCAGTAGTCCTTTGCCTCAGCTTGGACCCAGGATTGAAAACCCAGGGCACATCGGTTTTTTCCTGTACAGCCCTGATCAAGGCCAAGGCTACTTCCTAGTTGTTCTTACCCTTCCTTCCTTGTCTTCCCCAGAACCGACACAGTCCAGACCACCCAGGCGTGGGCAGCTCTCAGGCCAGCAGCAGCAGCAGCCTCCGCTAACAGGGCTCTACCAGAATGGCTTTTCCTGCCTGACAAAAGCTGCCTTCCAGGCTCGGACACTGCCTTGGGAGCATCCCCTGCAACCGGGACAGAAGCCAGCTCCTGCTGTGCTTGACTGAGATTAATGCATTATATGACAGAAGGGCCATGCTTTTGTTAAGGCTCAGCCCGGTTGGCTTTCTCACGGACCTCTCTTCCTCTCCCAGGAAGCTTTCTTTTCATCTCTTTTGTGCAATTGGTCTGATTTAGGACATTGTCTCATTTGTTAGGGTTTTTCTTTTTTTTGAAAAAAAATTTACATTTATCAAACTGGGTGAACTGTGGCTGCCTATTAAGAGGTAAGTGCCTTTCTGTGTGAGTCAGGGTTTAAGCCAAGGCATTCAAAGATCAGAGCGAATTTGGGTCTTATCATTATGTTATCTCATTAGCAGGCAGGGAAACCACCAGAGTAAGATCTGGGAGCATGGTCACAAGTGAGGCAGAGCTTGCTAATACCTGTCTACAGCAGACACATAACACTCTGCCCATAGTGTTGAGAACCAAGCACCTGGATGAGGCTCCATCTGAAGAGTCAATCCAGTTAAGTCTCAACTGTCTTCTGAGTCAATCTTGCATTGAAACAGAATTGCCAACTGAAAAAGCACCCACAGTCACCAGTGTAGTTCAACAAGGTTAATTCCTGGTCAAGCCTGTGATTTTTTTTTTTTTTTTTTAAATAAACCTCTGGCAAGCAAAGGTAAATGTTTTTCTCGTCTTCATAGGAGTCTTTGAACTGCCTCATTCCTTAATTAAGACAATTAAATTATTTGGCTGATTCGAAAACATTTCTAAGCTAAGACAGCAACAAAAAGGCAGCCTAAACCAGCAAAATGCAATAGAAAACCCAAGCTAATGTAATCTGACTTTAAATAAACTTGACACAGAAGAGTTAAAATCTGTTGCCATGAGCCAAGGTTGTTACTTAGATCAGTAGGTGGAAAACCACTCGTTCAGCGAGTTTTAATCTAGGATATCAGAGCAAGAGCGTATATACTTAAGTCATGGACAGCGAAAATAATGGGTTCTGGTCAATTGCTGGAGATTTAGTATCTGAGGAGGCCTATTTAAAACTAGGGCACAGCCTTTTTGCTTCTGACAAACAGAAGAGACAAAGTGAGATACCAAATTAAAGTGCCAGCCATATCCATCCAGTCAGTCCGCCTCTAACAGGCTTTTTCATCCCTCGATCATCCACTGTCTCACCTTTGGCTACATCCAAAAAGGGCTTTACTTTCCAGAGACAAAATTCTGTATTAAAGAACTGTGGCAGTCAAGATTCTCTAAGCTTTGAAATGACCAGGAGTTTTGACGGTCACAAAAGACTTTTCAGGAATTTTTAAATTAAATCACCAAAATAAAAACAGGACCTGTCCTGTAACGTTTCAAGTAGTTATTTTCACTGTAATCCTGCCTAAAGGTGAGCCAGGACAAGAGAAGCTTACGAAGTTTTCTTTGTAACTTCCCACCAGAGACCATTCACCCTGCCTTAACCAGACAAAATAACACAAGTCAGGGGGAGCTGGTTAGATCAGGATTTCTTTTTATTCCTTGTTGGTTTAAAATGGCTAATCAGAATAAAAAATAAAAGGGCCTCTGTCTAGAGGCTGGGGTCTCCCCTATTTAGAGGTTAGAACCCAGGTACCCCCACTACCCAGCACCATACTGAGGTGGGCGGAGGGGTAACCCCCAAGGGACAATCGGAGGGGCCTAGGCCTGCCGCTCCTTCTCTCTATCCCATTTTTGGCATGTGATGAAAAATATTGCTTTTTGGATTCATCTCTCCCGGCCTTGGATTTAAAAATAATGTTAACTGTGTGAGTTGGGGGAAGGCTCTGAGGGGACTAAAGGAGCCCACCCTAATCCCTCTCCCCCAAGAAGCGGGGGGGATTATCCAATATTGTTTCTGGAGTTCAGCCAAGCTTGTTTCCTGATCTCCCCACCACCACCAAAGTCATGGGGCTGTGACCCCTTTCCTGGGGAAACTAAGTGCCAGTGAGCCTAGAAAACTAACTCTCCTCTCCAAGTCCTTCCCTCCTCTGACCAAGACCCCAGACTCGCCTCTCCCCCAGGTGGCTTTCCTGATCACTATGCACCAACAACAGGGGGTGCTGTTTCCTTAGTGGGTAACTGGGACAAGAGAGGGAACCACTGGAAAAGGAAGACTTCGATGGATGTCCCCACTTCTTTCCTGCTGGTCTGAGGAATGGGAAGAGTACGATACCCCTCCTACATATCCCTCCCTCATTTTCCCATCCCAGGATAGATATAGAATTTCTTTGATATTTATAATATATATATATGTATATATATATATATGTACACACACACCTGGTAACGCAGAGAGGAAAAAAATAGAATCCGTAACAATAATAAAAAAAATTATTTCTGGTTTAAAAATGATCTGGTTCCCTCCAGGGCGAGCAATTGCACAAATGTCCACTGAGTCTGGTCCAGGGGTTAAGGAAGGGAAGGTCTTAAAAGGTGAAGGGGATTGCTACCCCAGTCTCAGGGCCCCAACTCTCCAACTCCCCAACCCCACTGCATTTTATAAAACGCTCCTCATCCTCTTGGAATCGGTGGTTTAAAAAAATGTCCATGCAGGGGAGGGGAGCCCCTTGAGGAAAGGAAGGTGGCCACCTGGGGCCCTTTGGTGTAGGCGCAGAGGCGTGGGGCGGAAGGGAGGTGCTGAAGGCTCACACGGAAATCTCATAGGTGGTACCACCCACCCCTGACACCTTCTTGACTCCACCCCTTGTGGGGCTGCTGAGCGGAGGCTGGCCTGGGCCAGGGGAGGCAGAGCCTATACTCTTGGGCTGCCCATTGGATTTGCTGTAGGCGGTCTTGAGCTGTACTTCATCTCTAGGAAGGAAAAAAGATAGGTGTCATCAGAACTGGGACACGAAACACAGAAAAGGGAGACTTTTAAAAAATTACTAGAACAGGGGAGCCTGGGTTAAGGGCCCGACTCTTGATTTTTTTTAAGTTTATTTATTTATTTATTTTGATGGGGGCAGGGAGAGAGGGAGAGAGAGACTCCCAAGCAGGCTCCACACTGTCAGCACAGAGCCCGATGTGGGGCTCGAACCCAAGAACCGTGAGATCATGACCTGAGCTGTAACCAAGAGTTGGATGCTTAACCCACTGAGCCACCTAGGCACCCCCTGACTCTTAATTTTGGCTCAGGTCATGATCTCACGGTTCACAGGCTCTAGGTCCGTGCTTAGGATTTTCTCTCCCTCTTCTTCCCCACTCGAGCTCTCTCTCTCTCTCTCTCTCTCTCAAAATGAATAAGCTTAAAAAAAAAGTTATGAGAACTGATGTGCTTTTCTACATGCATACTTTCTTACCCAAACGTTCCCACCTATTTTATTGCCCTGCTTAACACAAACCTGATGCCCTATCTCCCCTATTTATTCCTTCTCTCCAACAGCAGCTACCTGAAATACTTGCTCTCAGGCAAATAAATACATTTGGGGAAGACAGGATGAAGATAAAAGTATTGCTCTTTAGGCTTTTAACAGGAATAGCCCATGCAGGCAGCTGGAGAGAGTGAGCAAAATGAGCGATCTACAAGCAGGCGCCTCTGAGTCCACCTGCACACAAGTGAAGTCATGACACCTTATGTAGGCCCCGAGGCGAACTTTAAAATCCACTGAGGGTCAGGAAGGACTCATACTTACTTGGGGGTCAGTAATGGCTGCAAGGCTACTTCCTCTGCCTCGGAGACACCAGGTGGGGCTTTTTGGCTGCTGTAAGACATAGATCGGCCCAGGTACGGGGCAGTTGGGCCTGGTTCAGGGGACCCTAGTCCCCGGCCCCTTAGCCCATCTGGCTTGCCAAAACGGGGGGCAGCTGGGCGTCCCAGTGGAGTCTTAACCAAGGGTGATCTCTTTGAATCATCTGAGGAGGAACTAGTACGAGGGGCATGGCCTGAGCCCGGCGTTGACTGAATGCCTGAGTCCCCCAAGCCTGGTTCTTCCTCACGGCCCGGGAGTGGGGGTGACTGGCGTAGCAGCTTCTCTCGTTCCTGGAGGGAGGCCACAATATGGCGCGACAGATTGTCGTACCGGACTGGCGAGGGCTCTCGGTGCGTTGGACCAGTTGGCACCAGACGTGGGTGCCTCTCGGCTTCCCGCTGCTGGGCCAGCCGGGCTGACAGGAAGGGAGAGGTGTAGCCTAAAGGTGGGTCTGGCTCAGGCCCTGCCTGCACGGACTCGAAATCAGGGCTGTCAGAAGGAGTGAGCAGGCTGTCATAGGACAGGCTTCCATTGCGTGTCTGGTTGGCCAGGCTCTTATAGGAGGTGGAGGTTGTGCCCTCTGAACGAATGGACTGCAACTGGCCCAGCTCAAAGCCAGTGCCCTGGGCCGACTTGAGGCTGGAGGAGCGTGAGCCACTGGACAGTGGATCGAAGTGAAAGCTTTTGCCGAAGGTGGGAGAACGGAAGCTCTCTGGCTCCAAGCTGGGCTCCGAGCGGTAGCTGGGATGGCGGCTGCTCTCCGCAATCGAGGTTGGCTCCTTCAAGCTGTCCCCACGGCTCAACTGAGGGAGAAAATAAAGCGTGCTCTTAGTGCTCCTCCTCTTGTGACAGATCCTAGGCCCAAGAGCCTAGGCCCAAGAGTCAGTCAGAAACAGTATTTGTCATGTGCCGCCAGTATGCTCAGAACTTTTACACGCATCATCTTGTTCAACGCCTAAAGCACACCTATGAGTTGGAACAAGTATCTCATTTTAAGATGCAAAAAAATGAGGGACACCTGGGTGGCTCAGGTGGTTAAACCTCCGACTCAATTTTGGCTCAGGTTGTGAGCCCAGGGTCATGGGATCGAGCCCGGGGTCGGGCTCGGCGCTGAGGGTGGAGCGTGCCTAAAATTCCCTCTCCCTGGCTCACGTGCACTCTCTAAAATAAATAATTTTATTTCATTTATAAGTTATCTAAAATAAAACAACAAATATATGAAATAAGATACAGAAAACGAGGCTCAGAGAGGTCAGGTAACTTGCCCACGATGGGTGCTGAACTCAGATGCGGTGCTATCATCAGTGCTTTTATCTAGTCTGCTACGTTGCCCCCTCTTTGAAGGACACGCTGTCAAGGAGACTCAAGCCCATTAATGCCACCAATTGGTAAAATGTCTTCGGTTTCGTCCTTCCCTTCTCCGATATTCTTTTTCCCAGAACAGCTGACCTACATCAGAGCCTTACTTTTCACAGAGTACTGAGTACCTTGGCGCTGGAGGAATGAGGCATGGCGGCTGACGTACTGCTGCTACTGTAGCCCGGCCGGTACTTGTACATGGTGGGTGTGGGAGGGCTGTCCTTGCCCAAGAGGCTGCTATCTGCGGGAAAAAAGGCCCGGGGACACCGCTTTACAAGCCGTTCTCTTAACGTGGCCAGTGCTCCTTGAAGGACGGAGGGAGAACAAGGTACGAACAGATACACGCGGCAACAGAAAAGTCCCAGGAACGTGACTTTGCTGCAGCCGAGACTAAAGACTCATACCGGCCCAGAACCCAGAGAGACAGAATGCACCAAAGAGGTCTAGGAGGTTCTTTGGTCTATCTGAAGACCGACAGTACCCCCGCCTCCCCCGCCCCCACCCAACGACAAAAGTTCAGTTCACTGCAAACAGCTAAGTGGCATCCCCTTTCTCCTGTCCTGGCTGTCCAAAGAAGCGGCCCGAGGCCCACCTGTTGGGTGTTCTCAGCCACCCAACCTTGGCTCCCCGCCCTTGGCTGCCCGTCTTCTCCACAGCATACAGTAACCTTCTCACGTCTGCCACTGCTCTTACCCTCATTAGTAGCCAGGCTGAGGTGTGTTCGTAGCCCCGTGTAACGGCTCAGGTCCGGCTTAGGAGGAGGTGGGGGTTCGGCATCTGCAGACTGGCTCTCCGTTATCTCCAAGCTTCCCTTAGACTGGATAAACGAGGGAAAATCAGATTTGGAGAACTGGGTGTAAGGGCAGCTCCAAGGATTAATTAAACCGGTACAAGAGGGGCGCCGGGGCGCCAATTATGTATTTCTAAACTGGGACTAGAAGACAAGGGACAAGAGCCATTTGGGGGATGACAACGGATAAAGAAAAGTCTTCAACAAGGTTTAATTCTGTCACTTATTTGTTCATTTCCACCAACTATTTGTTGAGCTCCCACCATCTGGAAGCTGCTACATTAAGTCCTATGAAGACATGGAAATGAATGGACTCAAATTCTACCGTCAGTGAACCCACAATCTAATGGAAAAAAGAAGATATGTACTTAACCAGTTCTTTAAAAGATTTTCTTTCATTTATTTATTTTAAGTAAACTCTGTACTCTCAGTGTGGGGCTCGAACTCATCACCCCAAGGTCAAGAGTTGCATGCTCTACCAGCTGAGCCAGCCTGGCACCCCTGTACTTAAGTAATTTTTAGCACAAGTCAGAGAGTGATAAATACCGTTAAGAGTAATGTCAACCAAAATCAAGTTTCCATCTCTTTGCCATGCAAGTCCCCAAGTTACCTACTTTACTTCCCTAAATTCCTCACCTTGCTTCTCCTCAGCTCTCCCTGGATACCATTGTCCATGATCTTCACAGTTATCTGCCCATCTGACACTTCTGGTCGAAGGAAAGGAGGTCTGATAACAATCGTCTTCTCTTTCTTTGGTCTTCCCAAGTACCTGAGTGTCAAGAGCGAGACGGCTTTCATTCACTCATTCTCAAATATCTATTGGTTGCCTACCTTGTATTAAGCATTTTTACAAACACAAGCACGGTCTCACCAAGGCAGCAAAAAGCTTAGCACTGAACTGATTTCTTAGATGCCATGAAGAACTGCACCACGACTAGGCCTCTGGGCAGATACCTAGATCAAGCCTCTCTGCAATAAATCTCACCGTGAACTCTCAAAGGAGAGTAACCATAATATCTGAGGAATGTCAACTGAATTCAGAAGGTCCACTAAAGGATGCCATTTCTCTCCCTTGTAGGCACTTCCCATTCTAAGAGAACCCTCCCTAACTGGCAGTCTCCCACCCAACCCCCCCCCCCCCCAGACTAGAACAAGCCCAAAGACAAAAGCTTTGACCAAGAATGAACACTAGACCAGAGGGGTGGGTGTACCTGGGTGCTGGGGAACTGCAGAGCACACGGCTGACGTTGTTACAGCAGCCATTGGTGAAGGGATTCACACCTCCTCGGAATTTACCCGTAACCTAGAAGGAGCAAAAAAGGGCCCTATCAGTCAGACGATGGGGCCTTGATCCCCAAAGGCCAAAACAAATCAATTATTGTGCACCCACCATTTGGGAGATAAAAAATGAGTAAAACACAGTCCTGCCGTCAAGAAGCTTCTACTTGTCATGGCTAAGAATGGGGACTCCAGAATCAGGGTCTTCAGTTCAAATCCTACATCTACTTCGTGGTAGCTACTTGACCGTAGGCCCAGTGTTCTCATGTGAAATGGGGATACGCAGATAATATACACGTAAGCAAGTAAGGTCACTGCTATTACGTGCACGGAAATAAGTGTTTTCCTTTAAGCAGCTCTAGAAGCTTTCTGAGCACTGGCCTAGGTCTATTACTGTTTCCATCAGCTCAGAATTCAAACTGTCCAGTATATGAGTGAGCATTCTGCAAATGGTTGTTAACTGAGAATGGCTCTGTGCTCATGCCTGCATAAGGAGCGTGGACACTGCATCACAGAAAGTACCCATCAAGCAGCCATCTACGGAAGCACTCCACTCCGCTCCTACTGGAGGGCTAAGACTCCCGCGTCCAGCTCTACAGAGGTTTCCCAGCCCTTCTACCCGTACCTGCTCATTGGTTGTGCGTCCCCTGGCCACCAGCACCACATGAAATCCCGTGAGGCCAGCTACAGGGATGAAGAATAAGCCAGCCACACACATCACTGCCATTCTAAAGCCAAAGAATCAAGGAGAACAGAGCGGCTCGATCCCACCATCCCCGGCCCCTGCAACAGCCATGTGACCTTTGACCCGCGCCACCACAGCACTCAGCTTTCCTCCTCCTCCCCCGTCCCCAGCCTGAAACCCATAGGCCTTGAAGGATACGTGACAGCCGTGCGGACCCCTGAGAGTTCCTCCATGTGGTAGAGGACGTAAAGGAGGCCAAAGCCAAACACACCCATAATGTGTGCTGTCAGGGAAAGGAGGAAGAGGAAGAAATAACGGTAGTTCCGGCGACCAATACAGTTGTTCACCCAGGGGCAGTGATGATCAAATTCCTAGGGGCAAAAAGAGAAAGACTGAGAAGCGTCCTTGGACCATAGCCCTAAATCGCTTCTGTCAACAGCAGGAACAAATGTCAGAACTGAAGTTTTACTTTCAGTAATACGTGATCAAGTTCACCGTTCAGCTGCAAAATTAACAACAGGCTCATGCAGTTTATCTTGCTCTATCAAGCTGTAAGGAAGACCTCCCAGAAGCTGATCAAAGTTTATCCAATGTGACCAAAGAACTCCAAAAGGGATGAATATCAGAGGCTTTGCAAAAACATCAAGATTCACGAGAAGAGAGGCCTGGAAGGAAAATCTGGCAGACCACTGCTTCCAGCTAAGTAAAAACTGATTGGAAAAAAAGGGTTTAAAAATAAAAGACGAGGGCTGCAGCAGTTCAAGCAGGAAGAGAAATATAGCTGTAAAGTCTGAATTCAACGGACTGCATGATGTAGTAGATGCAAGAAGTAACACAAAGCCAGGACCAATAACCAAAAAGATGAGTCAAGGGACAGAAGGCTAGGGCTATGAATCCTGGTGTCGGGAAAGCCCATTCCCATTTGGGGTCCCTCCTATAACAGACAAATAGTTATGCTTTCTACCTCTCGGGCGGACAGCGTTTTTTTTGTTTTGTTTTGTTTTGTTTTTAATGTTAATTCATCTTTTGAGAGAAAGAGAGAGAAAAACAGAACACAAGTTGGGGAGGGGCAGAGTGTGAGGGAGACACAGAACCCGAAGCAGGCTCTGGGCTCTGAGCTGTCGGCACAGAGCCTGACACAGGGCTGGAACTCACCAACCACAAGATCATGACCTGAGCTACAGTCGGACCCTTAACCGACTGAGCCACCCAGGCGCCCCTCGCGTGTACATCACTGGTAACACTTTTTGACAGAGCTTCCATACGGCCCAGACCGTTAGCCAGGGCTGTATTTCATCCATGGCCCAGAATCCAGAGGATTCAATTCTTCTTCCAAGGGCGGGAAGAAGAGAACTCAGAGTAGGCACCAGGCCGACCCCACTCAGGGTGCTTACCTCCACACAATTGTCACAGACACTGCAGTGGGAACAGCGGGGAGGACGGTAGAAACGGCAAGTGGCGCACCATTTCATGCGCACTTGGATGCCCTTAATCTCCACCGTTTTGTAAAGGGGAGCTCGGAAGTCATCTTCCTTGTCTTCATCCTCCTCAGCTGCAAGAGAGGAATAATCAATTAAAAAACAACGGTGCCAGGACTGGACTCGGCACGAGGGATGCAGTGATATGTAAGTATGGCCTCTGCCTTCAAGGAATTCGGTCTAATGGGTAAGAGAGAACAGGAACTAGTAACTAAAACCGTGAGATCAGCTCTGTACCCAACGCAACGGGAACACGGTGGGAAATGAGGTTCGGGAGAATATGACTCAGAGGTAGCTCTGACATGGGTATGCTGACACTTGGTTTACATACTACGAATTACATTTTTGAGGAAATAATTTACATATCAAAGCACATACACAAAGAGTCGGCATAATAGTTCAACATCTATACGTGAAAACTACAGCAATCCAAGAGAGGAACTAACAGCAAGCTTTCCACGCACAAACCCCTTCCCCAAAAGAGCTTCCCCTATTCTATTAATCTCCTGTATATTTCAGTATTGTTTGCTGGCTCAAGACACTCTCCTTACCTGAATGCCCTTTCAATTTTCAACTATCAGAAACTCATGATCCTACTTCAAAACTGAAAGTACATTATTTGCCTTCTCATCTGCTGTGTACAATTTTTATTTTTTATTATTAATCTAGAAAAAATACATGTGGGAAGGAAACATTAAATAAACGAAGGAGCAGGGATTAAAAATTAAGTTTCCAACTTTTACTGATCTGGGGAAGTGTTTACAATACAGATAGGTAAAAAAATGCAAGGTAAAGAACTGTACAAACAAAAAGATCGTTTTGAAAACAGACACAAAAACACATACACGTTTGCTACAGATAAGTGGTACATATAAATGTTATATACATAAATCCTCAAAACACTGAAGGGAAATATAAATAGTAGTTATCTTTGGGCTGTGTAATTACAGGTCATATATTTCTTTTTTATGCTTTCTGCATAATAAATACTCACTACTTATTAAGGTCTTTTAGAAAAAGTTTCCTCTTGGGGTGCCCGGGTGGCTCAGTCGGTTAAGTATCCGACTTTGGCTCAGGTCATGATCTCACAGTTCGTGAGTTCGAGCCCTGCATCAGGCTCTGTGCTGACAGCTCAGAGGTTGGAGCCTGCTTCGGAGCCAGTGTCTCCCTCTCTCTGCCCCTCCCCTGCTTGCTGCCCCCCTCTCTCTAAAAAATAAACAAACATTAAAAAAACAGATAAAAAATAAAACAAGCTTCCTTTTAAAGGAAAAAAATTAAAATGCTACTTATTTTGAAATTTCTGATCTTTCCATACCCATCATCTATCAGAAACAAGTGCTTTCTCTTCTTAAAACACCACACAGTTCTTTAGTTACTCTTAGACCTTAGCACACAGTACATTTATTCATATAAACGTCATCCCTATTTGTCCTTCCACACTGAGCTATTTGAAAGCAAGAACCTTTAAAAAAAAAAAAAGTCATCCCAAATGACCACGATAATGCCTTCCATATTAGATCAATAAATATTTAATATATGAACATTAAAGGCTCATTAAAACAGTCCTCTTTGGCTTTAGGGACTCCAAGTTCCTTCGGTTCAACTAATCTTTGAGACAGGAGTCACAAAGCACAGCGACACAGGCTTTGTGAGTGCAATGATCTCAGGAAAACCTCATCTCTCACTCTTAAAAGCTAACTTCACGTTTGACAGAAAAACTGGTTATCAGCAACAACCCTTATCGACTTCTAACTCTAATGACGGTTCCTGACTCTCACCTCCTCTCCCAGAACAGCCTGCTTCTTCTGTAAGCACAACCCTTCCAACGTGCGGAGGAAAGCACACCCTCACTCTGGAAGGCCTCTCTTCCACCATCTCCCTCGCCTCTCTGGTTCCACCTCCTCACGTGACCAGAGTGCTTCCATCTTCTCTAGCACACAAGAAAGAAAAAGGCCAAAAGCCTCTCCCTCTTTCGTAAGACATCCATCTTCTGCCTTCTCTAACTTCTTGAAAGAGTAATCCTAACATTCATGGACTCTGCTTCCTCACTGCCCATTCACTGCCTTCCAAACCATGGCAGTTTGGTTTATTATTTACCTGTATTTTTCCCACACACATACATACCTAAACACACTATGACAACTATTCTCGTCAAGATCACAAATTCCAACGGGCAGTTCTGAGTTTTTCATACTGAATCGAATTTCTGATACTGTGAACCATCATGAACTTCGTGAACCTTTCTTATTAGTTCCCACTCTGTGCAGTTTCTTCTCCCACTAACCTTCTTACTCAGTCCCTCTTCAGTGGCTCCTCCTCCTCCTCTGCTCATTAAAATGTCAATGCTGGTCAGATCTGACCTTGGTTCTTTCCTTACCTTGTACTTTCTCTAGACAACCTTACTCCCGTTGCTTCAAACACCACATGGCTGAAGCCTATGAGACCCAGGTCTCTGACCAAACTGCCAGCTGGCTGACTGTACCTGAATGACCCATAACTATCTCAAGTTCAACATGTCTAATGGGCTGTCTTCCTTCCAAACCTGTTCAACATTCCTGTAACTCATATCTTGTTTTATAAAAATCAGCATCCAACTATCTCCCAAGTTAGGAACCTTGGGACGACCCTAGACAATTCCTTCACTCTCCTACTCTCCCCCAATAAGCAAACGGTCATGAAGAACTCTGTTGAGTCTGCTGAAAAAAAGTCTATAAATCCAGCCTCAAATTCAAGTTCTCATCTAGTTTACATTATTGCAATTGCCTTCCAAAAGGTATCTGTACATTTTTATAAGATTTATTTTTGTAAAACAAAATCTGATCCCATGATTCCTCCAGTTAAAGACCTCTTGCTGTCCAAAGGAAGAAACAGCATCCATTAATTTAGCACACCAAAGTCTTTCACCATTTGGCTCTTGGTTTACCTCCTACACCGTCTGGCCCCACTGTGCACTCTGTCTGCTACCCCACTAAGCATGGCATTCGTGGCTCCTGCTGCTTCCTCAGCCGAGAACACACTTCCCTGCCATCCTCCGCTTGAAGTCTTTCCTGCCTCCTCCTCGCAGCATTTCCCCAATTTATTTGGGCAGCTCTAAATGCTCCCTTTTCTGTGCTCTCCCAGAACCCTGCCTATGCCCCCACCAGTTTACCCCATACTGTGATAACCGTCTGATCCACTGTAGATTATCATTGTGCCTACGGATAATGCCCAGCCCACGTGCTTGAAATGAATTTCTGATGAATGAGTAACTGAAAATCAAAGAGTTGACCCAAAGTGAATCACATGACTAGAAGTTAGGACATCTATTCCAGAAGACCCCAACCCGCTTTTCGCCTTAGACTACAGAAGTATCCCAAACCCCTAGGAGTCCTAAGGCCCGGGACCAAACGTGTATGTCAAAAATCACTAATTTTCAAAGGTAGTGAGGAGGTTCCAAGAGGAGAGAGAGATCTTACCTCGAGGGAAAATCCCTGGGTCCATGAAGGTGGCCATGCTGAAGTTGGCCAGCACAAAGAGAAAAACAATGGCATTGTAGATGGGCACTGCAGGTGACACGTAGAGGCTGAGTCCTGGACAGCTGTACGGATAATAAAGAAAATGAGGGGATGCTCCACCACTCTGGACACCAATCATGCAGCCCCACAGCTAGAAATCTTGCGTGTGCCACCTCTACGGTCTCAAATTATCTTTATCCTTCTCAACAAGTACGTCTAGTTTCCCACAGAAACACTCATTGTAGATCAAGGTACAAGACTCAGAATCTCTCCTACTGTAATCCCTTGTACTGAGGCCTGTGTTCTTCAGATTAATTCCTCCCCGGTGAATCTTTCCATGTTTCAGAACCTGTCCTCACCTCCTTTTAGCCAGGCACAAGAGCTGGGACCAAGTATGTAACTGACACCAGCCACATTCCCTTCTCGAGCAGCCTCAGGCTGCTGGATCTCAGCCATGCCCCACTGACCTGCACATTGGCACAAAGCATGGGATACCACCTGCCTCTCTGGCTCCCCTTCCCTCTTCCCAGCTGGCTTTGAACCACTCTCAACTGCCTAAAGTTTCTTCCCTGCATCAGATATTCCTGAGAGTTTTATTCAACTAAAAGCTAGTTCTCAAGGGAGGCAGGGGGACCACACACAGAAAAGACTAGCTACCAAGACACAGAACTAGACCTCTTGAGGCCTATAAATGAAGTAGAAGAGTGGCAGGGCCGGGGGGTGGGGGAGAGCAGGTATCAGACCAAATCAGCCCTGAATTCTATAGGAAAAAGAAACTAGCCAAACATATCCAATATTCCAAGGGTCCAAACCAAAAGATATGCTTTAGGTTAACTTTTCTTTGACAGAAGACAAGAAGAAAAGGGTGCCCTAGTCCAGGGTTACGCGCCGTTTCTGTGAGGACAGGAGTCTGAGTAGGAACGCCATAAGACCTCTTCCTTTCTCTGGGAGCTGGAAGTTTCAGAACATCTGATGCGCTGGTTGTTTTGTCAGTACTATCAAGTGCCCTCTCTCCTATCTCAGCTCAGGAAGAACTTCCCCTTACAAGACAGTGGCTAAGTACCCTAATCTGCTTTGTGGCTGAGAACTTAATCTCCAGAATGAGGACAGCATCTGTCCTTGTCCCCTTTATCTAGACCAGCCAGAAGGAAAAGGGAGAGTTCACTGAAAGAAAGGAAGAAGGGGCCAGGAGAACAAGACAGCAAATGAGTCGGGAGAATTAATCCACAGCAGCCCTGGATTCTGCTGACAGAGGAGCTCTATCTCCATCAAATCAAAATGCACAGCCCTGAACAAATCAGGACAATTTTCAGGAATTGAGCTCTCCAATCAGATATAAACTAATAAGAGCCAAAACTGATGGTCACAAAGCATCTCACAAGTCTTGACCACCTCCAACTATTTATTCAAATTCCATTTAGCCATTCATTAAAACCAAAAAATGTAAGTCAATGTTTATTGCGTGCTAGGCTTTTTACATAGTAAATATTAATTAACTCTTTGCTTCTCTTGGCGGGTCAGCACATAACTGGGAAACAAAATAACGAAGCAAGGCGCAGGCCCTGATTTCAAGGGAAAACAGACCCTCCGTCACAGCTCTCGTCTTACTCCAGCCACGTCTCCCACGGAAGCCTCGTCCTGTAGCAGTTCTCTGGCTCAGAAAAGATGTCCCCGTACTCTGGCAGGGTTTGGGGTGAATACAAGCAAGAAGAGGCCTTACACAGCCCCACCCAAAGCCTGACCTCCTAGGCTCCTTAGGAGGGAGGGAGAGAAACTGAAAACCAGTCATCCAGGTCAGAGCCCCTCCCTAGCACTTAGCTGTCGCTTCGATTTCCGCCAGGGGAAGAGGAGAAGGGGTGACTCACTGGACTCCTACAGCCTGGGAAGATAATTAGAAGGGGAAAAAGAAATGGAATCCTTAGAACACAGAGATGCCCATGATTTAAAAGTCTCATTCCTAGAATGGACAACTGTAGCCACTGTGGCCTCTTGAGCTTCCGACAAACTACAGGTTCCTCAATCCCTGAGGGAAACTAAGATGAAGGAGGAGGAGATGTCAGCCCCTCCAAGGCCCAGATGGCCGTCTTTCTGACCCCATTCCTTCTTCAGTTTCTCCATTTCCAAGTGAAGAAAATCACCCAGTTTTTCTTGGGTGTGCTGCCAACCACCACCCCTGGATAGTTGACGTCACCCCTGCGACCTTCTTTTTCCCCTCCAAAGACTTTAAGAGTAACCTCTACACCCAACGTGGGGCTCAAATGCACACCCCCAAGATCGAGAGTCGCCTGCTGTACCGACTGAGCACGCCAGGCGCCCCACTCCTGCAACTTCGTATCAACTCTTCCCGGCTGAAGTGTGTAACCCCAGAATCCAGTTCTGGTATCTGTTGCGAAAATAAAGCCCACCCCCACAAGAGCAGCATCTAGAAATGATGCAAGTAAGTCAACTTCACAGGCAACACCTGCCCCTAGATCGAAATCCAACCCACTGCTTCCAACCTTCACACTCTAGCTGAGGGAACACCCCACCAAGGAGAGGCGTGAAGGAACAGAGTCCGTTCCTGCCACATCCCATACTCTGCTTGGCTCGTGGAGAGGTTTGCAGTTGCTATAGTACTTTGCCAGATTCCTAGGTGACCACTCCAAATGGCCTGTCTGAATCTGTTGCCTTCGATGGAAGGAAGGGAGGAATGAGCTGAGGAGGAGCTGTTGGGGCTGGTCCTCAGCCTATGGCAATAATCACAGGGCTCCAAAGCCTAGGGAGTGGCCGTAGCCCAGAAGGCTGGCTGACTCACTGATGAGACTCCCAGACCTATACCAACCCAGGAAGAACAGGTTCTTCTGCCCACCCATTCAGTACTCCTGTTTTCAGGGAGAGTGGGTTTCATTACCTACACTCCCCGGGGCACCTGGCTGGCTCAGATGGAAAAGCATGCGACTCTTGATCTCAGGGTCGAGAGTTCGAGTCCCGCACTGAGCATGGAGATTACTTTAAAAAGTAAATAAAATTAAAAACAAAAAACCCCACACTTCTGAAAATCTGTTTCCAAGCCCTCTCTAACACTTCCCTGTTATAAAAAATGGTTAAGCTGCTGGTAAGAAAAAAGTAGGAGTCAAGGAGCTTTGGCTCCTAATCCCATCTCAATCAATGCTTTGCTATGTAGCCTTAGGTAATCTTCGAACTCCAATCGTGTTACTTCAGCTACATAATAGATATGAGAATGAAGGAGACATATCTGAAAAGATCCTGGAATTCTTTCTAAACCAGCTGTCTTAATATTGAGCATTCACTGGATAGAAGGCATCCCCCCACACCAAAAAAAAACCCCACATGATTAACAAACACCCTCATCATCAATTATCATTCCAGCCCCACCTTCATCCTTAATTCCACTTCCCCTCTGTGAGGTACTAGAAATTCAAGAACACTTAAAACAGAGGCGCTAAGCTCCTGAAGCATAGGTCTATGCATTCCACCGATGCCTGGCACATAGTCTATGGCTACTGCTCCTTGTTGATGAGGCAAGGCTGGAACGAATATTCCACTTCCCGCCTCTGGGGATCCTCAAGATTCCAGGAGAAAACAACTTCTCCCCTTCTAGGTAGGTAAGTTTCTCTTAAAACACTTGATTTGCGGTGTCTTTACACACACTTTCAAGCAGCCGAGAGCAAGATGTAGGACTTGGGCACTTATTCCTGGATGTGAAAACAACGTGGGAAGTAAAAGGAACATCCACTGCTCAATTAATGCCCTAAATCACGAGGCTACTCCCACTCAAATCAGGTGCTAGCACCTCTGCAGTCAAGAAAAAAAGGACCAGAGGGAGAGGCACTGAGGTTACCCAACGCCGTGGGTAAAAGAGTTGGGAGGGGCTAGAGGCAGGAGCTGAACAGCAGAAAGCACTCTCATGGATGGGACACACCGGAAAGACCATCATGGATTTCCGGACAACCCTGACTTTTTTTCCTTCCCGCAGAGGACCCCCTGCAGCAGAGATCTTACCCCTACGCCCTCCCTCCAACTTGAGAAGTAGACACACAAAGAGACACTAGCTGACTTAACTCACAGCTCAAGGAGATTTTAGGAGAGGCAATTCAGTGGTTTATTTCAAACCTTATTGCCAGGAGTCCTAAGAAAGACTCAGGGATCCCCGAAAGAGGCAAAGAGGAGACACCAAGCGGCTGGGCCTCTCCACACCAGCCTCACTTGAAGCAGAGCAGCCCCCCTCTCGTGTCTTATGCACTGGGCTTCCACGGAAGATCTCACTGGATAAAGGGTCATGGTGCTTAAATAAACTCCTCAAGGTCAACTTCTTCATTACACAAAGAATAGCTCCACAACAGTGAACAGACTTTACCAAAATTAGTCTCCTGACCCCCAAAACAGTGCTGATTTCTCTTACCTGGCACTGCCCCCCACCCTTGCCAATCACGAAAGGGGACTTAAACTAAGATAGATGAGGATCCAGACCCATTACCTTAAACACAGCATCTAGGACCTAACTGGGAGGAAGAGGGTTCCTTCATCAGACACTCTCCTTCCCAGACAGCGAAAGAGGAAAAGAATGAAAACAGAAAATAACTCTCCCGCTCAGTTTTGGTACAGGGCACACTGAGCGAATGGGAAGGAAGGGTTAGGGTTCTGAAGGGAAGGCCTCAACTGTTCTACTCAAGCTTTTCCAGGGCACAAGGTCACCCTTTGATGACCAAGCCCAGCCAATAATTTCTGCTCACAGCTTTCCCTACCTGACAGAGAAAGACGGAGGGTAAATTGTTCCTAATGAGTTCCTAAGGCTACATGCCTGCACTAATTATGTCGGCTGACTGAGAGGGACTCTCCCTCCCACTTCAGGTTCTCTAGGCCCCAAAGTCATCCCCTCTTGGGACTCAGACTGATGTAAGAACAGACAGTTACAGGCTAGTGAAGAGAACAGGAGGAGGACAGAGCAGTTACAGAATTAGGGTCCCAAATAGGAGCTGGTTCAAAGAGAGCCTTTCCCTGGGACGCCTGGTTGGCTCAGTTGGAGGAGCGCTTGACTCCTGATCTCGCGGTTGTGAGCTCAAGCCCCACGTTAGGTGTAGAGACTACTTAAAAATAAAAATTTTAAAAACAAAAACGAGACTTCCTCTGGTCTATCTGAAACCAGAAATTCTTTTTTAGGTTGTAAATAGTTTCAAACAGGGAGGTTCTCCAAAGAATTGAACCTTAAAAGAGATAGAATCCACGGGGGAACAATTTTTGAGAACAGCAGCAGCTCAGCCCAGACCTACACCTACAGAGGAACCGCTACGGTCAGATGGAAAGGAAAAGATGATAATTTCACAGGAACCAAGAGGTAGGTGACAAAGAGAAATAGGGTGTTTGTCTCCATGGGGAAGAAACGAGCCCAGAAACTGGTCCTGAGGAAACTGCCAAGGGAGACTCCAGCTAGGACAAGGATCTTCTTCGAACTCTGGATTGGAGGCAGTCATTCCAAAGTCCATACTGTCCAAAATTCTTTATCCTGGGGCTGAGACACCATGGAATTAGGAGGGCCCCTACTTCCAGGCACCAAGGAATGAGAAAGTAGGTTAAATAGCTTCAACTATCAGTTGAGAAAATGCCTACGTCAGGACAACTCTTTGTGGCAAAACTGGTAGAACCAGCCAAGCACTTTAATGGCTCCAGATTAACAAAATAAGAATGGGGCTTCTGCCTGCCCTATCTCAGGAATAGGTGGGTTAGAGGAAAGAAACTGCTCCGCGAGTCCCTTCAATTTCTTAGCTGCCCCAAGGCTGTGCCTTTTGAAGGAAAACAGACCCTCCCGAATTAAGCAGGCCTAAAAGTGTCAACCTGGTCTTATACTCTATCCCTCCTGACACAGCACCGCAACTGCCACAAGGATATACACATCCCTTGGTTAAAATGCTGATTCAAGGGGAGCCCGGCTGGCTCAGTCAGCAGAGCAGGAGACTCTTGATCTTAAGGTTCTGAGTTCCAGCCCCATGTTGGATGTAGAGATTATGTCAAAATTTTAAAATCTCAAAAAAAAAATGCTGATTCTACTTGCTGGCCGTAATAGCAGAAACCAAAACAAGTCATACTGAAGACTCACACCTCCTTCTCGATAATCAATGCACGAAGGACAGAACACTGGGGGTGCCTGGGTGGCTCAGTCGGTTCAGCATCTGACTCCTGGTCAGGAGATGCTGCTCAGGAGATCAAGCCCCGCTTCGGGCTCTGTGCTGACAGCATGGAGCCTGCTTGGGAATTTTTCTCCCTCTCTTTCTGCCCCTCCCTGGCTCACACACATTCTCTCTCTCAAAAGGAATAAACTTAAAAAAAAAAAAAAAAGGACAGAATACTGAACATGTTGAATTTAAGCAAGAGAGACAAACTATGAGAGGTAAAGTCAGAGTAGAGTAGGGCTGCTTTAGATCCTTGAGGGACTCAACAGGCATGCTCAGGCTGGAGAGCTGAGGGCCAAAGAATCCTCCAGCCTCCAGAGGAACAGGTGAAAGTTGGAAGATGCTCATACCTCAGATAAGAGATTCATTTTTTTTCCCCGTTTAAGACTCAACAGAAAAACACCATTGCTTTACTGACTCTACTAGCCAAGCAACACAAATCTTTTAGAATTCCTTTTGGCATCTGAAGCTCAACTTGGGGCAGGAGGGGGGGGGGGTGGTCTTCCTCCCCTCCTCGAATTTAATAACAGTTCTAGGTTTCTCCGCATAATAGTAACTGCTCCCCTCTCCCCCCACCGCCAGCAATTCCTGCTTCATTTTTCCTTTAATGAGTCGAAACTGCTTTTATTCCCTATCCCGTCGAACCATCTCCTTCCTCTTGCCAGCAACCTCACACTGCTCTCAACAACACCTCACAATTAGGTCTGAGCCTCAATCTCGGCAAAGTGAACTCCCCAGAAAATCTAGCATGCTCTGATTGTTCCAAGAGCTACAGCTAGAACACTAACTCAGTGACTCAACAGTTTAAGGCTCGGAAGCCGGGTAGACATTAATTTATAAACAGGTAACAGCAAAGAGGCTGGCCAGGTGGGTAACAGCTAAAATACAGGATGAGGGAAGATCAATCAGTCTCCTCCAGTGACCGGCAGATGAACAAAGTCTGAATACCCTAAGCAGGAAACCTTTCGATGCCAACGGCTCTTCCTAATAGGACCAGGGAATGCAAGAATTACTGCCATCCCCTCAGCAGGGAGGGATGTGAAGGCAGCCCGCCAGGGCTCTTCCTAAATAAAGCCTGCCCTTTCCCAGTGGCCTTCGCTTCTCCAGGCGTCGGCTCTTAAGAGTACAGAGAAAACCATCTGAGTAACACAAAAAGCCCAGCTGTCTCATTGGTATATCTTCTAAATCAATCCTGCAATTCTCCAGTATGCTCAGCTCCAGAGAGCCCGGGGAAAAGCCATTACTCTGTGAAAAACCTCTCATCTAGTCTGGTTCTTTCTCTCACAGAACTGATTGCTTGAGCTGCTTCAAGCCTCTCTGGTGGTTTCCTCCTACTTCCTTCCTAGTTCACGATCATCTCGTGATGGAGCTGGATAGGAAAACACAAAGACATCTGTGATTCCAAAGGAAGGGAAGCAATGAAAGGTAGGGGATTCAGAAGAGTACAATTCATACATAGCAAGGCTGACAGGACAGGCTTTTTCGCACTCGTCTCCCCAGGCCTCTGAGGTTTGTTTTCACCTCTATTGCACACCAAGCCGCCCAGGCCTGGCAAGTAACTGGCAAAACTCCAGAGAAACCGCACCCCCCCCCCCCCCCCCCCCCACCTCCCACGGAATGCCCCCCCAGATACCACCACTGGGGGAGAACTCACGTAAAGGCAAAGAAGAGGGTCGTAGCTCCCACTAAGAAGATGGCGGCTGCGGAGACTGGAACATACTTGCTGGGCTTGAATCTCTTTCCAGACTCTGCGGGCATGTTGGAGCTCTGATGGGAGGTCTGCCCTGCCGCATAGCCCAGGCCCACACAGCGGCAGAACAGACAAGAAAATGGGATGAGGGAAGCAGCGGACAACGAGAGCACAGAAGGAAACCAGGGGAAACAGAAATTGTGAAAGTATCACCCTTCCCCCTCCCAAATAAAACCAAAGGTCAAAAGATCTCAAATGAAGGAAAGCACATGGGAGGGGGAAAGGTGATTCGAAATGATGAATAACCACCTCCCCAGAACAAGGCAGAAGGAGAGATTAAGAAACACAACTCGTACAGTCTACAAAGAGGGGACAAACAGCAGGCTGTACACATGCAAATGGTTGCAGGTGGAGAACATGGGCCACCAGACAGATCGAGGAACAGCTCATGGATGGAGGTAAGTCTTCCAAGGGCAAGAAGGGGAGACTGTCAGGAGGGCAGAACACCTGGGGCAAGGCAAAAGTCTTCTGAGGAGACACTATAGCATCTCCAGGACTACCACACTCCACAAGATGTGAGGTGCCCCTCAGAGAGATGCGCCCTGTGTTTCTATTTTAATCCAAAAGGGAACCTGAGGCCCCTTCCAGTTCTGAGGAGAAGCGGTTTTCACTACGGTCCTTGTCCCTTTTAGGCAGTTTCCTCAATGCCACCACTCCCACACCTTGACTTCAGGGTCTGTAGTCCAGCAATGGTGGTTTAATTTTATTTATTTTCTCTTGATGGCTAAAGCTGGGCAGCAGCTGTTACAAGGTTGAGTCGCAAATCCTTTTCTTCAAAGGGGGAGGGAAAACAGAGAGAGAGAGAGAGAGAGAGCGCGCATGCAAGCGAGCTTGTCGGTCTTCAATCTCTTCTTGTCATTCCCAAGCCCCCTAAGGGCTCCGTTTCCTATCAAGTTCATGCAAAACTAAGGAGAAACGTAAAATCCCTGAAGCCATGTTCTTCCCAACAAGCAAAATAAGATGAAGAAATCAATTCCACTCAACGATAGTTTTAAAAGGGTACTGTGGATGATGAAACCAAAGTTCCAAAGAAGTCCCTGTTTCCAGGTTAGTCAATGTCTCTGATCTTTCTTCTTCAGTCTTGGGCTTTCTAGATGCAGAATTCAACTGGGTTACAGTGATTCACCTGGGGGGAAAAAAAATACCTTTATCAGATAAATTCTTTCAGGGAATTTCTTGAAAACATCATGACTAAACCCCACAGGCTACTCTGTTTAAAAAGTGCCTTTTATGGCATACATTTCACTTATGTGCAGGTGGGAAAGGACTCTGAATTGAGAGAACAACGGATTCACAATCTTTACTTCTTCTCAGTGCTGTTCATATTGGAAAGAAGAACATGGCTTCACTGGCCTAAGGTCATCAAAGAACTAGCTCTTATAAGGGGTGCGTCTCACCTGACACCAACGGGCAGTAACAAATATCAAGAATATCAAAATCTAAAAACATACAAGGGCACCGCGGTGAAGGGCAGTCCTAGAAAAGAGACTTCTCTTTGGAAAAAGAGAGTATTTATTGCAACAATGAAAAAAGAAGAAAGTAACCTCAAAATTAGGACAGTATGTCTCATTTCCTTTCTGTGTAGGTCTCTGTCTCTTATCTCTCTATGCTTTTTAGTTATAACCCTGAAGAGGCAGATGCTGAGTTTTTGGTCTGCTGGAATAACCCATGAAAGGACCTGGGTGAGAAATGTCCTTGAACTGAGAGGTGAGCCACTCTCTAGGAGACTCCGAGTCAACCATAGGGGCTGGTCCTGTTCTTGCCAATTCAACACCTTATTCCTACACTGGCCTATCAGAAGTTCAACTGCGCCCCACATTCCCCATATGATTAAGAGTAACAATTATTTCTGTTGACGGTAGTACCCAAATAACACCAGCACTTTGGATTTTATAGGATGCTTTTCATCTAGTGATCTCAAAGCACTTAACTCACATTATCTGGTGACACAGTCCCTTACTCCACTCCATAAAATTGAAGGCTAGAGAATGCCTGAGGCCATTCCACTTAATCGCGTGAACAGTCAGGTTAAGAACCAGAGTTCACATGCCCCTTTGCCAAACCAAAGCCTTTCTACCACTTTCTCATCCACTACACTACTTGCCCAGTGATTACATTTTGGAATCTGAAGACCAAAAATTTTACTTAAGTTAGAATTTAAAAATAAAAGTTCAGGAGTGCCTGGATGGCTTAGTTGGTTAGGCATCTGACTTGTGATCTTAGCCCAGGTCTTTATCTCAAGGTAGTGAGTTCAAGCCCTGTGTGGAGCCTACTTTAAAATAACTAACTAACTAACTAAATAAATAGGTAAAAAATAAAAGTTTATTTGACCGAAGCAGTCTGCTATTTCCCTTAATACCAAAGGCAGAGATTCAAATGTCAGAAGATTCAGACAGCAAAATACAAATGTGCCCTGGAATTTACCGCTTCCTCTCTTACCTGTGGTATGGAAGGCAAAGGCACCTTCCTTCAAGATTCACTGTCTCTTTCCTTAAAAAAACAGAGTTTTACAGGGCCAAACAGCAATATTAGAATACAGTGAACACTTAGAGACTATAAGAAATTGTTTAAGGCCTAAAAAAGATAAATCCCCTCTAGCTCTTGATTTTATGATTATTTAACACTGAGTTTCTATAGGACTGAAAGCCCAACCGTCTCAATTTAGGCCTGAGTAACTTTGTAAACACTGAGAAGCAAATTCTTGGTTTGTGGGCAATACTATTAAACTTACCCCTCAAAAGCCCAAAGATGTACAGAAGGCAGAAAGCTGCATTGCTTAAATTTTACCCGAAGTAATAGCATTTAGACACCTTACGTTATTTCAGATTGTATTTTCTGACAAGAAAAAAGTCACATGGGCTCATATTGCCACAGCAATACAGGGTCACAGGGTCATAAAAGGCCATGCAATTTGGGGAGTACTGTGACGGGAAACAAAAGAGATCAGCATCTGAAATCTTTAGGGCACATATGTGAGAAGGGAGAAGACAAAAACTGAACAATTTACTCGGCATAATAAACACACACCAAGTCTTAACAGAAGAATGTGCTACGGGCAGTAGGGATGAGACTGCAAGGTGAGTGTGGTTCATCACAGCCAGCAGTCTGGATCCACACCAGCATGAGAAAGGTGTACAAGAATGTGTATGACACATGCAGACACAGAGTAATCTACCGAATGGAAATATGTATATGTAAAACAAACTATAGACGGCTCGCTATAAAGGCTTAACACAAGTGGGTACCTCCTTAAAGGGGGCGAATGGGTATGGGCAGTATTACCATAACACAAGTATTATTTGTCGAAATAAAGTAATGTTAACAGAGCAATATAATAAATCTGAACACAAAGCAACCAAGGTATCATGGAATAATCCACATGTCAAGATGTTGGCTGGAGTCAAGCATTAAGTTTAATACTGGTGTTACTACATAGGAGGTATGTGTGTATGGCAATACAATTCCTGTAAGCATCAGGCGGATTTTTAAAAATGTGTGATTATGAGCATTCTGAAGAGATTTGATGGAGTACAGAGGGATACTGGGACAAAAGGACAGGGATGCTAATATAAGATCAACCTAGACAAAATGGTACTAACCAGGAAGTGAAAAATCCAACGCAAATAAAAGGACCAGAATGTAACACATATCCGATCCTACACCTCCTTCCATAACTTTTAAATCACTTTCTTACTTCTCGTTAAAGTGTTTTCATTTGGCCAAGTGGGTAAAACACTTTCCACCCCTTTGTCCCACAAAGAGAGACCTATAGGTAAAATATTGGCCAACACATTCGAGCTCCACTAGCAAAAAGTACAAAGTACTAAAAGCACGGAGCACCCAGCTGGTGGGGGTAGGGGGAGAAAGCGGACGGATGCGAGAGAACAGGTAACAGGATGAGGCTTGAGCCAAAATAAGTATCAGCAGAGGAGGGCAAGAGACCTGAAATGCAGGGAGGCAAAAGGGGAACAGCACCCAGTCGCCACCCTGGAGCTGGAGACGGAGAATCACCATACGGGGCAGAGCTGGCTGAGACCGAGAAGACGGAATCCGCGGCCGCAGGGCCCACCGAGGCTGCGGGAGACGGCAGAGCCCGGGGGCGCAGGACCGGGGGCGGAAGGGGCGGCGGCCGGGCGCCAGGCGCGCAGGGACCAGGGTCCCGGGCCAGGACCGGGCGGCCGGGCACTAACCCGTCCAGAGCCCCGGCGGCCGCGTATCCCCGGCCTCTACTCGTCGTCCGTTTCCGGGGCCCACGGGTCCCGCCGCAGTTGGATGACCCGGCCCGGAGCAGGAATGGGGCCTCAAACCACCTCCCCCCTTTCTCGGTCCCCCTTCCCTAGAGGTCACTCTCCCCTCCCACCTCCCTGGCCCGGCACTTCCGGTTCCGCAGGGGCCGGTGTCCCCGGTACTCACCCCCGGCGCGGTTCCCGTCACCGCCGCCGTCGTTGTCGCCGCCGCCTCCCGGCAGTGCCGTCCGGCCTCTGAGAGGCCGCGCGCGGCCCCCGCACGCTCCACGCCCGCCCTGCTACGCGCGCTCCCGCTCGGCGACGCTCGTCTTCGAGCCGGCGCGCGGCCGTTGCCCTCAGTGCCGGGTCTCGAGCCCTCCCAGCGTTCCCATTGGCTCCCCGTCCCGGGTGCGCGCGACGTCTCGCGCGGGGCACGTTTCTCTCATTCATGCGGCTCGCGCCGCCGCGCCCGCCCCCGCTCACTCTCCCATTCACCCATAGCCCCCACCCCCACTCCGCTCCAGGGCGTGCGCGCGAACCCGGCGACCGCGGCGACCTCGCGGCCTGATTGGCTGCAGGAGCACGGCGCCGTACACACGCGAGAGAACGAGCGCGCGCGCGCAGGGCCGACGGGTTCCGCAGACGACTGGGAGAGGAGGATTGGCGTACTGCGGAGTCGGAAATGGGGAAATGTCCGGGAAAGTCTTTTTCCTGCTTCCCATAGGCTAGCCCCACAGTATCCAGGAAGAAATCCTTGGAAGTAAAAATAATTATATGTGTGT